GTATATACAGATATGTTTATTTTGCAGAAGGTTTTGTTTGTATTTATGTTCAGGTAACATTAGTTTGTTTGAAAATTGGTATTTGGTTTGGTTGATGTTAACTAGTCTCTTTTGTGTTTGTTTGGTTCATTTATTGTTGTTTGTTAAATTGTTGGAAATAAATTTCTATTCATTAATCAATTAATTCGTATCAAAGATGGTTCATTTAAACTATGTAATATGTTATTTTTCAAACAGACTGAAACCAGGGTACCCTAAATCTCATTGTTTCTAATGGCATACAGTTTTAGTGTTTTTTATTATAGATGTGTTGATGGAACAACAGGTCATGATAGTTCCAACAAAAAGAAAATCAAACACAAAGAACTAAGAGGTTGTCCTCCTTCTTTCTGTTTTTCTGATTTTATGCAATGCACCATGACCACAGGCAGAAACACAGTCCCACCATGTTTGAACGTTGATACACCTTTTTCATGTTTGGAAATCTCACAATGAGTCATCCAAACAGTTCAATCTGTGTTCAAACCGATCATAAACACGTTCTCCTAAAGGCATTCACATTCTCCACATGTTCCACTGCAAGTTGAAGTTTGACTTGAATCCTATTGGTCAGGATCATGTTAGTCCATGTTAAAGTAAACTGGCATCACAGTGACACTGATTTACCAGGATCTTACAATCTTTTCACCCCTGATAATTTGGGTGTTGTTCTTAAACATCCATCTACTGTATCCATCCTTTCACTTTTAACACCTGCTTATCTTTGCATTGTCACAAGGTCCATCTCTAGCAGTCATTGGGTGAGAGGTGGGTTAACTCTTGTGGTCTAACATAGGGTAAAAATACAGTCACACAAGACAAACTACATTTAAAAACTGACTTTTGATATGCTTAGAGCAATGGTTTCAGAACCCAGTCCTGCAACTTTCAAGTGCTTTTCTGTCTAAAATATCAGCTTATCAACTGATCTCTGTAGAGATTCTCCTGCACACTAGAGAGGCAGCTTACAGTAGATATTCAATTTAGATGTTTACTTTTTGGGACACATAAAAGTTGAAGGACACTGGTACTCGAGGATTTGTGTTTAAAAACACTGGTTCAGAGGAAGCTGGTGTAGCAGGAGGGGATTGAGGCACAGATGTAGAGAATTTATAATAAAAAATGTGCAGAAAGATCAAAGGCAGGGATTTGGTTCCAGGATTTTTATTCTGCAAAACAACTGTCCTGACAACACCTCTGACATACAACCCATTCCTGAGCATCATGGGCCTATTTTTGCTAAATCTAGTTAAGTATAGATCATTTTGGTTCAGTAATTGTTCTAATCAAACACAAACCCAAAGTGATTTTGCAAAAGTAAAAAACATACAAATAAAAACATACAAATATTGAGCAATGACTACAACTTAGCCACATGGAAAACTGACAGGCTGGGTAAAACTGGGTATGTGCCAAAAAAAACAACTTAAATCGTCTCTACAAATTCTGCCAGATGGGTGATTAATAAACTATTAGCATAACATCAGAAGCTTAACTAATACAAAAATACAGTTATCCTTCTGCTACTTGCCAAGGGAAATCTTTCCCTTGGCAAGTAGCATGGGCGTGGGTGTCTCTATATATTAAACCATGTATGTACATATATTCTTAACTATATTCAGATTTGAGAAATCTGCTTTAATTTCAGACTTTTGCATTTTGCATTTAGAAAATATTTAATTCAGAAAATTACATTTTTCTTTACTTACAAATTCTTCCTGGTTAAAGACATAAAATAATAGAGCGTGTATGTAATTTCTGAGCCAAACTGAGTTTATGTAATATATGTGCCCTCAGTGCTCTGACCTGGTAGACGTTGCTCTTGTTGTAGTGCATGTTCAGTATGCGGTAGAGCTCCGTATCACGGCTCACTCGTAGCTGACTCTCTCGGCCCAGACGAGCTGCACCATCCCTGTATTAAAAAACATTCTCACTTTAATTCATATATAAAAAAAATAAACGCTGAAAGATCACTCCTAAATAAGTTCTTTTTAAGCAGGTCAAGACATTTCTATTTCCATCTATTGTTTTTTGAAGCTGCTTTAATGATCGATGGTTTAAGAACTGATCAGAATTCATGGTATCTTCTAAACACACTTAAGCTGCATTACCAGCGTTTTCATCTACGGAGCATATAGTGTAATATCTGACCTTTTTCCAGAAGATGTGCATACACATCATCCAATGTGAAAGGAAGACTAAAATACCATAGCAAATAGCCCACCCCTGTGTCGATGTTCCATCTCCTGCAGAGATAGAGTTAAGAGGGAGTCAGTGCTGAGTGTAACCCACCGGGTGAGGGTGTCGCGGACAGCCTGGCGTGCAAATCGCTCCATCTGGATGTAGAAGAACTCCCTGAAGTTGCTGAACCATTTAATCATTTGAGAGGTCACGCAGCGGTTAAACTAGATGGCAGCAGAGGCAAGAGAAGGATGCTTGTTAGCTTTACTTACTTATTTACAATATTACATTTATACAGCAATAATATTTTTTCATGCACAAGGATGCACAAGGTATAAAACTTAATTTCAAGTTTATTAAAAATTATTATTAAAAGTAGGACATATTCCCTTATAGTTTAAACACTGAGAGTAATGGAGTTTTAAAAAGCTATGTCTGTTTTATGTTTCAGGGTGATTTGGCACCACCTGTGCTGGCCAAGCCTGAACTCTAATACTAAAGATAATTATGGTAGGGTCATAGCTTGATCACACTGCAAATGGTGTAAAATAAACTTCTCAATAACTTAGATAATAAACATTAAAAACCCTCAAAAACTTTAAGTGCATGTATTCATTGGAGGAAAATGCTGTGATTTTGTTAAAACCTTACATCTTATTAAGGAGGTTTGTTTCCATCCAAATTAATCTGCTCATACTACTGACTAGAGTTTAGTTCACAGCAGTCAAATATTGCACATATTTACACATATTTAGAGGCTCTATGAATATGGCTGGAAGAGCAGGTTTAGCTAGTATTCGAGCCTTTGTTAAGAATTATCTGTAATGTAATAGAAACCTAAAAAGCTGATAGCTAAAACATTTTGAAATGGCAAAATAAAGCAAAGAGTGTAAGGAAGTGAGGGTTTCACACACTTTGCCCATGGCCATACGTCACGTAGATAATAGTAGTGAGTCTAGGTTGTTTTTGTTTAGTTTTTTTTTTTTAAATAAATCAATGAATCTCAGATAAGTAATTGTTATTTTCACAAAAACTACATTTCCTAGCAGGAAAACATGTTTTAAAACAGTTTGTTTCAATCCTAATTATTTGAGATTACATCAGAGATTTAGGCTATCCTGGTCTGAGCTTAGTTTTGCTCAACACTCAGCCATCGAGCTGACGTCTCGAGATAAAAGGTACAAAAAATTATCCTAGTAAGATTCAAACACAGAACTATAATACAATATTCACTCTGCACTAATTTTCTGTCTTATTCAAGGGGTAATACCAAAACCGATTTAGGACTATGAACTATGAGTGAACATCGATGGTGCTTATAGACACATAGATTGTTACCCAGAGTGATATTTTACATAAATTATATTTTACTTAAATGAACCCGGTGGATATGTGTAGTTTAATTTGATCCACACAGAATCCATCTGGAATGGCTCCAGCGGAAAGCGTTCACATAAGGGAGGGACATTCAGTGCAATTATTTGATCTAATTGGGTAGATTATTAAGTGGCACCTCCCTCCCATGTCGAGCTTTTAGCCAATCACAACAGCAGTAGAAGCTGTAATGTATCACATTCTAGATTTTTCCCAGCTAGCGGACTTAACTGATAAATCAAACTCTAACCAAATCTGGTTTGTAGAAGCGCAAAAATGTTTCTCACCCACAAATCGCATCCTTTAACTTGTTTAAAAAAGAAAGAAATACAGGGTATTCCTGCTAAAACAGACAGAATAGCAGAGTCTACAGCTAATTCCCCCGGTGGCGCCATGTTTGTTTTGCTTCAGCCTGCTGCTTCTGGTTGACGTCATACACATCTAAATTTTTTATAAGAGTTGAAACTATACCCAACACACAGACTTGATACAAATCAGATCATATGAGTGACTGTTGTAGCTGACATTAATCCCTTTTCTTGCAGATTTAGGATAGGATTCTCCTGCGCTGTTGAGTAGTGGACGAGCTCTCTGGCTGTATTATATTTATAAAGTTATCTTTAAGGACGCCCTCCGTCATGCACTGGGATGATTAGCAACTGAGTCTGAAGATGGCAGGAATATTTTCCTTCAGGTCTGATGCTTGGAGTCTCCCCTAAAGTTGAAACAAAGTGTATTCCAATCTGTGCCTCCAGCAGGGGAGTATAGCTGTTTTGATGACTTGCTCAGGATTGATAGTAGGCTTGACCAGATGATGGATGCATGACAGTCTAGTCAGGGACCTAAATAACTAGAAACCATAGATGGATGGTTATATAAATGACACACTCACCTTGACTTCAGGGAAGTAGGTCTTGAGTGTGTTGGAGCTTGGATAGCGTGTGTAAAAGAACATGAGCTTTGCCTTCTTCAGATGGCAGGGAGACAATCCCTCCTGAGTGTAAACATGATAACAGCTAAGGACAAACGCAGACATGAGCAAACACAATCCTCTCTGTTACCCATTCAACAAACTGACAAAAAGGATATCCCCCCAGCTGTCAGGTAGAGCTCTCCTCCATCCATCCCGCCGCCTCCTCTGATGCTCCCATCTCCCCTCACACCTCTTTCCCTCTCTCTGACTCCGTGACGAGTCAGCGACGGGTCCAAGTGTCCAAGGAAAGGGAGTGGAGGGAAGGAGGCATGAGAGGAGAACTCCAGGAAGGGATCGGAGCCCAGGTAGTCCTTCCGGGACGGAGCGAGATGTGGGAGTTGTGGATGGTGGAGTGAGCGGGAGAAGAGCTGCTGCATGGAGTAGTGGAGCAATGGAAGAGGGAGAGGTGGGGGTGGAGGAGGAGGTGGGGGTGCAGGGAAGGATGATGAAGAGGAAGAAGATGATGAAGATGGGTGGAAGGAGGCGGAGGAGGTCTCTTTGGACTGTGAAGGTGGAGGTAAAAGTGGAGGGTGAGCAAGAGGAGTGGGTCGAGTCAAAGAGGGGTGATGCAGAGGGAGGTTTGGGTGAGAGGAGTTAATGTTGGTAGAGAGAGGAGGTGCGAGGAGGGGAAAGGTCTTCCGTGTGTCAGGTGACCTGTGAACAGCCAAAGGCATTGGCAGATCTGATTGTTCAGAGCAACGCGGCGGTCCAGGAGGAAGGCCGCCCCCGTTTTTTAATTTCTTAAGCTGCTGCTCTCTGTCTGCGTCCTCCTTCTCTTTCATCGGCTCCTCCACTCTCTCTCTTGTCAAAAGTCTCATCCAGTCCTCCCCCTCCTTCGCTGTGTCATGCCCCTGATCGGACGGCTGAAAAGAGATGGCGGCGGGAGGAGAGGAGTTATCGGTCATCTCTGTGTAAAGACGGAGAACTCTGTCAATGACTCGAGCCACAGCACTGCCCAGTTCTAGCTTTAGTGCCTGGGCAAACTTCTTTCCTTCCTCCTCGTCTTCGTCTTCAGTGCCTCCATCCCAGTCTGATCTCGTCAGACCTCCACACTCAACCCAAAGTCTCGATCCCTCCATGATTCCCTCCATGTCTCCTTCTCTTACTCTCTCTGTCCTTGTTCCTCTGTCTTTTTGCAAATGTTCTTTCCGTTTCTGGAAGTAGTCAAAATGGGAAACAGAAAGGAGGGAGAAAGAATCCTTCTCTATCTCCGTGGTATCAAAGTCCTCCTCATCGTACATCTCCCCTGAAACGTCCTCTTCATCCTCTACCATCCCCTCATCTCCCTCTCCATCAACTTCACACCTGTTGCGCTTCCTTTTCTTCTCCTCCTTCTCCGTCTTCTCTCCAAATGCCTTCCAAACTTTCTCCTGCAGGGCCTGCAGTCTCTCCCTGGCCTCCTCCAGTTGTTCCTTTAGCTCCTCCTTCTCCCTTCTCCTTCCCTCTCTCTTCTTCCCACCTTCCTCAACCACCTTGTCTTTCTGCCTACACTCCAGCTTCATTCTTTTCACTTTCATGACGTCTTGGCTCCACTCAGCCATCAGCACAGTGTCACTGCACTTCCTTTTCACCTCTGTCAAGTCATCCTCTGCCTCCGTCATCCCTTCCCCTGCTCCTTCCATCCTTCCATCTATTTGACCGACAGTCACTTCTTCCTCTAGGCTCCTGCCTTCCACCTGTCTCTGCATGCTGAGGTTAGCTGTTAGGATCCCTCCGATCCTCCTTGGGCCTCCCCCTGGCTGAAGGAGATGGTGGATGAGGGGGAAACCAGGGGGTCTAAAGGCAGGAGCAATGTGAACTCCAGGGAGGTCTGCAGAAGACAGACCAGGAGTATAATTGCTTAGCTGGGGGGAGGAATCATCGAAAAGATCTGAAGGGGAATCCATCACTGCAAAGAGATAAAGACAGAACAAGGGTAATTCACATGAACTATTATTGCATAGCATTCTATAACTTTTTTTAAACAATGAAAGTAGCAAAACTAGTATTTATATTAATGTTTTTTTTTTGTGTAGCAACTAAAAACCTCAATGTATTTAACTGTGGTAATAGAAACAAGGTGCTGAAGTTCTTACGTTTGTTTCATAAATTAAAACTAAACAAATGTAATGTGCATTCCCCTTAAGTCAGTTTTTTGTACAGTATAGCAACCCTTTTTTAATATTACATCTGCAAATATTTTCTTATTCTTTACAACATGGCTCAAGCTTAGTCAGGCTGGATGGAAACCTCCCTGAAGGAGATTTTCTGGACTGTGTGAAATTTATAACATACTACAATTATGCATTAATACAATTTCTTCCAATGCAGCTCTGGTTTTATGGTTAAGGTATAACTGTTTCTTCTCTATAACAGTCTTGTATATAGCTCCATCCATCTTTGTTGATCCTGACCACCCTCCTTATCCTTGCTAAAAAAAAAACAAAGAAACAACAACAACAAAAAAAACTGCATGCTCACCTCATAATACTACCACCACCATGTCTCACCTTTGCACTTGTGTGTTAAGGATGAGAAGCAGTTTTGATCTAAGAATTTTGCATTTGGGTAAAAGATACTATACTATAAGATACTTAGTGCAATACTAATGCTAGTTATCCTGACTTAGCTGTCAGTGTGTGAAGGTCCTTCAAAGTTACTGGGCAGAGGTTTCTGGGCCCTTTTTTCTGATTAATCAGCTTTATGGTATGACTTTTCATTGAGGTGATTATATTGTTTTATAACTTAAATAGGCTTTTAACACTCTCTCCGACCTGTCAGCTTTGTTTATTGCTGATTGTTAACAATTATTTCTAACAGAAAAGCTAGATTAATAACGAAATCAAAATACAATAGTGAATAAAATAAATAGGGTCACTAATTTAGTGACTTCTAAAGGCAATTTGCTGTCATAGATTTTATTCCGGGTATCAATGATGCATCTACACTGCTCTACATGTGAATCAGTCTCCTTCTACTTATTCTATTACATAAATATTCGACTGAAATACACTTAACTGTCTGGAAGCAGTTAGTGAAATGTGATAAAATATAGAAAACAATTATGGGATATACATATTTGTCTTCAAAAAAAGAAAAAAAAAGAAAAAGAATAATATGAATATGAAGAGTTTAGGGTTGTAGTCAGTGTCAACTATTTCTATCATAAGCACCTGATAAACAGCCCAAAACATTTAAAGCTGTTTTATAACAGGGTTTATACATGAATGAGTTACTCTAATTTAATGCTTTTTAATTCTATTTTAATGCTCTTAGAAATAATTTTAATGCGATCAACAAGTATGTATGACTATATATATATATATATATTTTTTTTTTTATTATTATTATTATTATTATTATCTATATCTATAAAAAACATGGCAACTCGTCATCTTTACCGTCAACAGGCTGCAGCCATGTCCCAAATTCCTTGCTTTCCAGTCACTTTTGTTGAAATTTACATTTTCCCATTCTCTATCTTTTTCTCCGCCTCAAGCTTCTTTTCCAAACACGGGGACCAGTTATATCTGATATAATATATCGGAGGAACTTGTTATTATAAAAAAAAATAAAAAGAAGCATTTTAAAAGCCAAGATAATCACATTTAATGAATTTTAATGCCAGTTAAGGCCTTAATTAAAAAAATAAGAATTTAATGACTTTTAATGATTTTTAATGACCTGCGGAAACCCTGTATAATGATAATATTTGTACAAAACTGAATGAAATAAATTTTTTATAACCACTGTCAATTTCCATTTCATTTACTGAATGAAATTACCCATTATGCAAAAGATTTTTTAATGTGAGTTTTGATGAATTCATCCATTATTTCAGATATATTTAATCAGGGTGTGAGTATTAGACTCACCTGGATAACAAAACGGCCCAATGATCAGTCAAAGGCTTCAGCCTCCTCCACTTGGTGGTGATCAGCTGAAAATTTAAACAAGTAGGAGTTACACTAAAGAACCTCAGAGATGGGCTGAAATTTCTTTCGACATAATTTTATCGTTAATTTCATCGTTAACACAGAAATGCTGCGCCTTCATCTGTCGCATTCTTAAGGACCTTCAGTGTCACTGATTAGTTCATTTATTTAGCATGTTGCCAATAATAGATTGAAGGAGATAATTAGATGGAGGAAGACAGATTTAGGTTCAATTTCTTCCTTGAAAGCTGTTACTTTAGAGTTCTTAATCAGAAAAATCCATATATTTAAGTTGAGAACTCAGCAGTTTCCAACAAACCAACACCTCATCACCCAACATAGCCAACAAAAAAAATGTAAAAACATGAAAACTGCAGCCAGTTATTGGTACTTCTGCCAGTTTGAATCTGATTAAATTAGTCATACACAGTGAAAGCTTTTCTAGTCTGTTTGAATATTTAACATTTTTAGAAACAATGATTAGCATGCTAGTGTGGCCACTGAACAAAACATTAAGCAAATTTCACAGGTTTAGCTTTTATTGACTCAATACTGTAACAAAGGAGTGGTTTTTGTCTTTTTTTTCAGCGTGTCAAATGATTTCCAAAACAGTTTGACTTGAACCTGAATTTAATGACACACAATTTTGTTTGTAAAAACAACCCTTGATGAAAAAAGCACATATATATAAATTACATTTGGAAGCAGTAATTTTTCTCACATATCCTTTTTTTGTCCCCATTGGTACCCTTCAGCTATCTAATTTTTTTTAGTCCATCCAAGTGGCAATAGGTCAGACATCTCTTATATTTCGGTTATATTTCACAAACCATACCAAGGTCTGACATTTAGATTCAAGAAATTACTTACATAATATCTGTGTGAAAACATGAAGTAAGCCAAAGTATCTCAAAAGGCAAGTAGTTCTGCTTTTGTCTAAATTAATTACATAGTGTTACATTATTTTACTGTATTTATTGAGGTGATTAACTTTCTTTTCCCAGATTATTATGAAATGATCTACTGATCAATAGAGCAACTGCAATGACAGTTCCCCATTTATGTCATAAAACAACTAAACAAGCATGTAAGAAAGGTACAATACAGGCATTTCTTGGAAATAAAAAGTTATTTCAATAAGAGAGTTTTTCAGCTTTGATTTAAAAAGCTTTGAGTGTGTTTCATACTGTAAGATGGGTCAGAAAGCTATAGCTATAGCTATTGCAAATCGTTTAATCTGTCCATTGTTTTTTCGATTAATCGATTAATATTCAGACAACCAAAGGCTCCTTAAAGAAGATTTTTTACTAAATTAAACCAGGTGAAACTTAGAGGTTTTCAATTAAGGAGTTTGGGATGAACATATTGACAGACAAAAAAGTTTTCTTTTATCTTAAATGCAAAATGTTTATATATTTTTTTTTTACAATTTTGGTAATTACTGCTCTAAGTGTGTTGCTCTGTCAGCTAAATGCATATTTTACAGTCTCCACACTCCATTTAACGATTTTATTACTGAAATAGTTGACAATCATTTCAATAATCTATTTATCACGATTAATCCAATTAATTGTTTCAGCCCTAATATAGTCACATACAGGTTTAGGTGTAACCTATTTCTTACACATCTGGTATGTTGTTAGTGTGAACAGCTGAACGTGAGTTTTACCTGATGAGAACCTTCATCAGCAACGGGAGTTTTATTTTATAAAAAGTCTCAGTCTTTTGCATGAGTTACGCAAGATCCAAAGTAGCATCCTCTGCTACACTACATATTAAGATGAAATAACTGAAGTCTCTGACAGAGCAGTGTCAGATTTCTTGATTATTTGGGGATATGATTGACCATTTGGAGAACCTATAGACTGTGTAGTAAGCATGTGACTTTTTAGCTCCAAGGTGGTAGAAAAGTTGCAGTTTTTTTTTACAATACATAAAAAAAAAATGAGACTGAGTCACAATCTGTGTAACATGTCCTGCCTTGAAACATGAGAACAGCTGCACCATACCTGTTTGAAAGCAAAGTGCATCATAAACAATACTTCATAGATTATTCAGGAATTAATTTCTGGCAAAGGGTGATTGTCCTCTTTATCTTTAGATGCACATTTCTAAATATCCCAACACACTGGGCAATAAAAGAAAAAGTATGGCAGCAGCTTTATTCCCTGCAATTAACAATATTTTGTATTTTCCCTCTTAAAATTTGCCATCCTAAAATTTCTCAAAATCTCAGTTTAAAACTGAAATATATTTGAAATAAGTGACTCATTAAAAAAGGCAATTCGAGGGTCACCTAAGATAAAAGCTCAAGGACTGAAAGTTCAAGGACTTGCTGATGACAGACAGCTACTTCCAGATGAATAGCTGAAGGAAAGAAATACATTTTGTTTGAATATTGCTGTAGGGTGTATTTATCGTTCATCAAGAAGCTCTAGACGATAAATCTCAGCTAGATGAGAAATTGTTAGACAGAATAAAAGGACCAGCTCACTGCAGGTGTATCTAAAATCAAATGGCGGACAGAGAGACAGAGGCTGTCAGATCGGGTTAACAGCCTGTGGGTGTCAGGCTATGTGCTGGTAGGGAACTGGGTAACATCTGGCTCATGAACTCTGCCTTGCATCATCCTTCACTCCTCTTTCTCTATTTCCTGTTCTGCTTAATGTGCATTGAACAAATGTAATAAAAACAACAGCATGTTGGTGTGTGTCCGAATATTCAAAATGGAAAAGACTGTCTTTTTCTCATTGTGGAATCTACACCTGGAAAAGCTTGTATAATAGAGAGAACTTTAAACACAAAGAGCAGGTCCTCATGTTTTTTTTTTTGGTAACCCTCCACCCCCTTCCTTCCTCTCCCATCCACTCTTTTCCTCCCCCTTGCTATGTTATCTGTTTGGGCAGGTTGTTAAGCTCTGTTTGATCAGAGTATTTATCGTCACACACTTTCACCACCAGGAAAAAATGGAAAAGAGGCTTCAGAGAGGGCTAACAATGGTCAACTGTCCTTGTAGAGGGAAATGGAGTGAGAGGACAGAATGGAGAGAGTGTGAACAGCAGCTGTAACTGTTAATCCACTTCAGATGAACATCCTACAGCCTACTGCACTAAAAAGATCACAGTCATAGATAGATAGATAGATAGATAGATAGATAGATAGATAG